AACAGTTTTTACAGCATAAATAAACAACAGCCTGGTACAAATCACAAAATAGGTCTGATTAGTTATTGTCATCACTGGCACACACTGTACGGGGGTGAATTTTTTGTAAACGGCTCTATTTTGAAAACGATACGTGGTTATACTGACATGATTGACAAGTGGGTGTGATGTAACGGTTCGTCAAGAGGCTTAAAACCCGCCTCAGCTCCAGCTCTCAGCCTGTCGTTAGGTTGACTGAAAGTTAGGGTGAGACAGGATTTCCAGCATGGCGGCTGCTGCTGATGAGCCTTCAGAGCCCCCTGCCGCAGCAGATGGATGACGTCACTCAGGCTTCGTCCATTAATATTTACAGTCTATGGTACACATGCATAATTATACCCCCTCTCCCCAGCGCGCACACACACACACGCACAAGTCTACGAGTGGCAGCAGCCAGCAGTCCTCATTTCTTTGTCAACGTACTCCTGCAGTTGGAAATTTGGCTCATCAGGTTCCTTCATGGTTCTGTGCTTCAGTTCTCTGAGAAAGAAACAGAGACTCGGTAAAGTACGGTGGCTGGGAAGTGCAAAACAAACATATAAAGTGTGAAACAATTTTACAAAGCTTGAGACAAATCTACATTAGGATTTTTTTTTTTTTTACTTGAGTAATCTCGATTTATCTAATGGGACGGGGATTCTTACTGTGCTTATACTCACTTGGCCACTGCAGTGAAGGCCAGCTCCACATTCAGTCCAGACCGAGCACTAGTCTCCATGAATGGCACGCCAAACTCCTGCACAGCGAGACATTGAAAATGTGTTTGTGATAGTTCAGTGAACATGAAAATCTGGTTTGCATTAAACAAACTGCTAAAAACAGCATGATCTTAATGAGTAATAGACCCTATATAATGCTGAAGTCAACCCATGAAATTTTGTCACTCAAGGACCAAGTTACTTAAGGGGAAGAAACACATGTTGTAGTTTTGTGTTGTGGAATATATAAATTACATTCCCTGCTGCATAACAAGGTGATTAGTACATTTTGTGTTAGCTAACCAGCTAGCTAGCCTGCGAGGGAAACTGTCTGTTTCGCATAAGGCGCCAAGAGTAGGGAGACACCGTCATGGTAACAGCGAGCTCCACCAATCAGAGCTATCTCTGTAACACTTCTTGGGTAGTGTAGTTCTTTTCTCCAATATCGAGAATAAACTTTGTTTTTTCTTAAAACGATGTGGATATCATACGAATATGTCTCCTACAGGAACACAAACCATCATGTCACACTCTGGTAGCTCGTGCTAAGTCTACCTTGGATGGTTATGACATTATGGCTAATAATCAAATCCATATGGAGATAAATTAATAGTTTTTTTTTTACTTCTGGAACCACACTGTTGAGCCCTATAACTCTTACACTCTTCTCAGAGATATTCTAAACAAAACGGCCTGAAAATCAAGTTGGCCTCCGTCCTTATGCCATGAATATTTTATACACAAATCCTGTCCAACAAATAGTAGCTAGATTTGTGGATTTTAAGGATGGCTGCATGGTAAGATTAAAAATAGAAAAGTCCTTCGCACATCTATTTCACAGGACATGTACGTAGGAGAGTATCAAAAACGTAAAGGTAGTCTCCCGCTTACTGTCGAACTTTAAAGCAAACATTTATTGGCAACGTTTCGGTACTAGACCTTAATGATGTTTGTAAGACAGTATGCGGGGGATTTGCTGTATGGATGGTAAGTTTAACCACAAAATCATTGTTAGCTTGTGTGCCAAAATTCTTGTGCAAATGATCAAACTCACTTTTGCCAGTTTCTCTCCCTCCTCTCGCTTCACCACCCTATCATGTGTTGAGTCAGCCTAGAAAACATCAGACACAAAATATCAAGTCAGAAGCTGTGGCCTGTCCACACAGTACCTGTAGAGTGGTCCACATTTGAAATCACTACTATACATTTACAGAATACATTTCGATATCTGCCATGTATTTTGTTTGATTACTGTCTGCTTTGACATTCTTTGTTATTTTTTGGTTTCTATGTTCATAACCAACTCTTGTACAAACTAAATATTAAATGATAGATGAATCAGAATTGTGTACAAATATTGAAAAGGGTTTGAAAAAGATGCCTTATTGACTGCTTTTTTGTTTAACTGGAGGCATGAAAAATTCATAATAACTAGAGCCTGTGTTTCTTGTTATATGTGCTGATATTTTGAGATTTATTCACCAGTCAAATAGCATTTTATTCGAGTTTTATTGTATCAAACTAGCAGTTCTCTTTCACCAGCAGAGTGTGCTGTTTGGATTACAACAAGCATTATTACTCTCCAGAGTGTCAAGCGGTATCATATGTGTCTATCTATATCTTTCTCTACAGATCAAACACAGATCAAAGAAAGATATCGGTCAATACATCAGTATGAGATTTGTTTTTCTCCCCGATATCGCTATCGGCCCCAAAGACCGCTATCGGCCCCAAAGATCCCATATCGGTCAGGCTCTAATAATAAGTGTCAAACAAAACACATACCATTTAATCTCCTTAAACACTTGCTAGAAGAGACTTGCCTTTTTAGCAACACGTGTTAAATTTAGAGCACTTCAATCTTGTTACTTTAAGCAATCATGCTTAAAATCTCATCTGATAAAATAATAAGTTACTACTCAGTAGACAATGTAGCCTACACTAAGTATATTTCTCCTCTGGCTCCCACCACACCACCCTCCATGACTTTCATTCTCTCCCTCTGAGTCCATCTGTCCATCAGTCTCCTAGTGTTGGCAATAAGCTCTCACCTTGTTGCCCAGCAGCATGACGACAACATCCTGCTGAGTAAACTCGTGGATCTCTGTCAGCCATGCCTGGAGATGCCAATAAAACAGAAAGAAGGAGAGGTGAAGAAATATACAACCTTGGGAGGGAAAACAGAAAAGAAAGTACAGAGGAGATAGACATGATGAAGGGTTGACAGAGGAGATGGATAGTTCCACAGAGAACAAAAAAAAAGAGATTTAGACAAAAGATTAATTCAATGTTTACTGGCTTCAGTTCATGTTGTCCTCTCATCCTTTTATCCTCCTCTTGCATCTCTCCACCAATCTTTTCCCATTACAGCTCGGATGTCAGATTGCTTTTTGTTACCTGACCCAGTTATAAAGTACTCCGTGTCTCTGGGGTCTTTGATACTATGATACTCTATGCACTTGTTATTATTTGGACATCTTGTTGTCTGGTCTCTGTAGACAAACATGAAAACAGAAGCCAGTGTTTCAAACGGTCTTTCCGAAAAATTTGTAGCAATGGTCAATGTAAGGCAATGTTACTAAGCAACTTTGAAATTGGCAAACACAAGATGATTAATGTAGTTTAAAAACATAAAGATATGGAGAGATGGGGTCCTACCAGTTCTTACAAGTATATCACAGGATGTTCTTTGATGTCAAATCATATCTTCTAATTTCTTCCTAAATTCTTAAAATTATTGCCAAACGTTGTGGCAACCTCAAAGCAACTCTTTAACTATACACATCTGAGCCAGTGAGGATGACCGACTAACAGAATGACACTGCAGTCCACTGGTTTAAGGTGCAGCTGCAGCGAAATCTGTGAAGCAGAAAGTGATCAATTATGACATGCTTGAAAACAAATGTTTATGGGTAGATGGCACACTTTATTGTGCACAATGGGAACAATACAATATTCACCCTATTCAAAAATCAAACCCATTTACAATATTCTGCAAAGCCCATAGAAATTAATTGGAAATTCCTGTGTAGGGCAAAAAAAAGAACATTGAACTTAATAATGAAAATATTCAGCTCTCCTAATGGACATTTTTACTCATGAATATTCATTTTCTATCTCAGAGCATAATGGGAGAGTTGGGTGTGTTCTTTTATGACTTAAATAATTTAAAGGTCACATATTATCCTCTTTTTCAACCTGTTAAATAAGTCTCAGAGCTCTCAAAAACATGTCTGTGAAGATTCTTGCCAAAATCCACTCTGATTCTGTATTTGATCATGCCTATAAACTCCTCTATTTCAGCCCTGCTCAGAACAGACTGTTTCTGTGTCTGTAGCTTTAAATGCAAATAAGCTGTGTCTGACCACGCCCCTCTAGAAGGGCTTGGGTGGCTCAGGCTTTCTTGTTCCATGCCCAATCATTTAAGGTGAGAAGGCAGACTCAAGGGTGGAACAAACACCTAGCTGTGGGAGTGTCACCCACCTGGGGGAGGGGTTACTGCCCTTTGTGATGTCATGAAGGGAAAATCTCCGAACGGCCTGTTTGAGCACACATTTTCTGAAAAGTGGAGCAGACTAAAGATGGAGAGGATGGACTTTTCTCATAATTTGAGGGATTGTAGACATATTAGTGCTAGAAAAACATGGTAAAGTGTATTTTTCATATTTTGTGACCTTTAAAGTTAGGGCTGCACGGATGCATCGGTTCAACATCGGTATCTGCCGATATCGGCCCTGTTGACAGACATTGGCCCATAAGCAAATAATGTGGCATGAGCCGATGTCAGTAGCCGACGTTTATTTGTTGTGCCAAATCAATTTAATGCTGGTATATAGTGCACCTAACTACTTATTCAGAGATTACTTTTTCGATTGAGTAGATGACGTCACCTGTTGGAAAAACATTAGAAGAAGTCATGAAACATACATCCGTATTGGTATCAGCCCTGATTTTTCCAATCATTGCATCTCTAATTTAAAGTAATATGTGAAATCTCTAAGTTGTTGATATTAAAAAGGTTTCTCAATTGATATGTGTTTGAGCAGTCTAAACATGTGTTATATGAACAAATACAGTCTTTCTTAATACTGGTCTTACTCCAAGGGGTTGTGAAAACAGTTGTTAATCAAGCCGGGTGACTTTGTGTCCACTAAAGGCTAGGCGAATGTTAAGATGATGGCTCTTTTTTGTTATTGGTATTGGTTTGAGGAAGTTGTGGTTAAATGGGTGGGTTGCCGGGTGGGGACACACACAGAGTGTGAACTTAAGAAAGGCAATGAGAGGAAGAGATTAGTCCACACTTGTTGGGAGTGAGAGATCAACGCAATACAGCAGGTAAACAATGTTTTATATTTTACATCTTGGACAGAAAAATATTCACTGTAAACATGTTTTTGGTTAAAAGGATCAACATTTTCTTATGTTTTTCAATATTTAATTTAAGGTTTGGAATGTGTCAATTATTTATTGGATCCTGTTATTAGAAAGTTTAACAGTTTGCATGTTTTATTATCTGTTCATTCAAACCAACAAGCTGATTTATATAATCAGAGCTAGAATACCACATTTTCCAGAAGATCAAATGACACAATCCTACAAATGAAAAGCTATTTTCAACTTTTAGTATAGTGCAATTTAATGTGCTTAGTGGTTTTACTTCTAAAGCCTTGCTAACTTTGTAAATGCTGTGATTGTGTACATGTGACTGTAAAAATTGGAAAGCAAACTATGCTAACTTCTGTTTGGCGTTTATTTGTCTTTGAATTAACGTCTTCTCTGCCATGAAAATGAAAAAAAAAACAGATGTAGGGTTAGGGTTTAAATCTATATCGAAACCCTTTAAAAATGTCACATGGTTGATGGGTGTAACTGTTGCAGCATGTAATCTCAGTAGGATGAAGACACTGCTTGTGAAACATGTACTATATTGAAGAAGTTCCGTTGGGCGTCTTCTGTTCCTCTTTCAAAACGTACATTTCCTAACCCTCTTTGAACCCACCCTCTAACTGTCTACATTTCTTCTAACTTCTCCTTTTTATGTTCAACAGACCCGACCAATACTGAGGACTCTCCTATTCTCAGGCAAAATGAAAAAAGGTGCCACTGTTTGCCAAACACACGCCAATTCTGGCTCTGACAACCGTTTCCTGATAAGATCAAAAGAGATTTGTGCTAAGACTGCGAGTCTCACAAAACAGAACTACAAGAACAAGCAAAAAGCTGGTTATGTCATGACACACAGCCAGGAGCACAAAGAGCACACTTTCTTAAAAGTGCCCCCCTCCGGTTCAACCGTGCGTTCTGATCAGAGGAGGAGCTCAGCAGACTTCAGCAACAGTTCTCAGATTGTTGCTGTGGAGAAGAAAAAGAAGGAACCCCAGCCCCCTCAGCGAGGAGTGTCTCTCCTCAGACCTCATACAGCATCTCATTCTTCATCCAAACGTTACTCTTGCCCTGCCATTGGGGGCTTAAGCTCACCGACTCGTCCTTCCTCGTCCTCCTCCTCCTTGTCCTCCTCCTCCTCCTCCTCCTCCTCCTCCTCCTCCTCTTCCTCCTCCACTACTCCTGTCCAGACTTCTGTCATCACCGGCCGTGATCCTCTAGGCTGGAAGTTGCGCCCAAAGTCCAGTTCCTCCTCTCCTAGGGCTCACACTAATAGACTGTCTCTGCAGATTCCACTCCCTGTCATCTATCCTTCCCCCGGATCAAATCCTACATCTTACACTCAGTCAGACAAGTCTTTGAATCCAGCTCCCTCTCCTAAGACCAATCTCCACTCAGACCCAAACCATTCCATCACCACCACCACCACCACTCTGAATCCTCAGCCTTTCTGACCCCGGGTCCTGTGGTGACAATTGAGGACCTCAGGGCCCTTCATCTCCACGCGGTCTCCAATTCTTATGAATCTGATGATGTTTTCAGTGAAGGCCACGACGAACAAGAACTGAAGATGACCCCTCAGTCGTGTAAAATACCACCACCTGTTCCGGACAAAACTTCCATGGCAAGACAAGTCGCACAGCTGATTGCTCATTCGCGCCAACGGTCCAGGATTTGTTCAGTTTAAGACAATTTGGGCAAGGTGTTAAAGACAAAGCCTCAATATCCTCAGCAGACTGAGGACAAAAATATTGGAAGAAAAAGATCTGAACAATGACTGGTTGCAAATACTGCAGGAGAAGCCGAGATCAAACACAACATTGTCATGCAAGTTTGAAGATGAGATAGTTGCAGATTCCTCGGTGCCTTTTACCCTGATTAGCTTTTTATTGATCTCAGCCACTGTGCGCTGTGAGGAGAGGAGTGGCTTAACAGTGACAGTCAATGGTAACAACATTTTCTCTGCGTCAGCAAGGCGCTGTGTGGATTCCACCTGCAGCAAGGAGACGTCAAATGCAAGCTTCCCTGGCTGATGAGAGAGGAGAATCGATTCTTCTTCTACCTAAAACACCATTAACCAACAGGAATGATTTGACTGGTTACATCGTGTAACATTATGTCCTCAGTATGAAATTTGAAAGTGTATTTGCTTATTAAATAACTAAAATGTTCAGTTTAAAGATTGTATATGCTGTGACTTGTATGAGGAAATAGATAGTTAGGTTGCTAATAATAAGTCAGTCGTCTCTCAACTGGAAGGTTGGGGGTTCGATTCAAGTTTGATACCCTGCTAAAATATAAATAAAAATTCACTAAAATATTATTGGAAGTTAAAGCATCACAAGCTGGAAAGTCCTGGATTCAACTAGACTATTTGTTTTACCAGTGATATCCGCTAATTTCACTAAAAAGTTCTGTCATTAAAAAAACATTTGACTGCATATAAATATATATATATATATATATGTACATATATGTACATATATGTGTGTGTGTGTGTGTGTGTGTGTGTGTGTGTGTGGCAGGCAGATTATTTGTTTACTAATTGTATATTCCTGCAAAAACCAGCACCTGAGTATATGTACCCTGTGGTCGTTCTCTCTCTCTCATATATATTTCCATATATATACATGTAATATATCTATAAGGGCTGTCAAATGCTTACAATTTTTAATCCTGATTAATCGCTACATTTCAATAGTTAATCATGAATAATCACATTTATGTCATTTATGTTTTGCATGTTTGAAATTATGTTATTTTGTATTTTAGAGTAAAAATTGTTAGGCTTTTATTTTGAATCTATGTACTGTCTTAAGCTGAGAGTGTGTTACTCGCTGTTTGAATTTAACATTGCTTTTATTTTGAAATAAAGTAAGGACCTTCAGGTAAATAGAAGGTTATGAGATTGAAACTAAATAAAAACAGCTAAAAGTCAAAAAGCTAAATGTTTGATGTCTGAAGGAAGATATTACTTTGGACTTGTCAGCTGAGCTGTCTGAGACTTTTATTTTAAGTGAAATGAGACATTCAGAGATTCAGCAGTGTCGGTCTTTTCCATCACCGTGACTACAGGGAGACACAGAGGAGGCTTATCAACAGTGCGCCTTAAAGGACAAAATTAATGTATTAATTTAAAAATGTCAAACCCTTATTAATCTTGATTAACTTTATATATATATATATATATATATATATGGAACTTGAATATATGGAATAGTAACTGAATATATTAAATGAATGTCTGAATAAGGTTTATGGAATTAATGTCGGATAATTTTACACCTCAAAAATACAAGATGGCGCCAGTGAAATGAGGACATCAGTTTTTATCTTATATTCAGACCTGCCTTGATTCCCATAATGCCTTGTGCTGGACCGATTGGTACATCTGTTTATGTTGTTGTTCATAGTTAACACAGAAGTGCATGCTACTTATTTTTTGTATTGTCATTATCAGTAATTCATAGGATGTTTTTTACGCAGATAAATGTCAGTTTGTGTAAATCTGTAGTTTCACATCGTAACTGAGGGGAACATTATGTTTCAAGCCGACAGTTGTCCTTTGCACACAAAGTTTATTCTTCTGGTTTTGGATTAAGTCAGGATTAAATCATCATTTTAGTGATTTTCTATTTTTGCTTCTTGGTGGAGGTACTCTTACGAGCCACCTGCAGTACCCATGGGTTCACACTTTGGGAAGCACTTTTCTACAGCAAAGGAAATGTGTAAGTGTAGGCAAAATAATGAGCAAAATGTGGAGTCAACAGAGAAACTTGGTTAGAGTCAGTTTTCAAATCTGGGTTTGGTCCGCTGAGATGAGCGTAGAGAGATCTGCAGTGTTGGCCTGAAGCACCGCTGCAGGCTGGTGAATTCAGTTACTTCAGAGATTTCATCATACAGAGACCCCACACCCATGTACCTATTCCCATCTTAGGCTGTTACGTCACGCATTTCACTGAAATACAGTAAATGGAGGTAAAGTTCTGATTACATCTGTGGTGATTTTATTTCTGACTTGTATTTCTATATGTTAACCAACCGCTCACAATCCAGGGTCAGCTTGTAGAGCAAGTTCAGTTTTTTTAAATATCTGGGAACAGAGCTTGACACCTGTCTCTCCGTTTCACAACATGCAGATTCTGTGTATTAAAAAATAAAGCACAACAGCGCCCCCGTCTGATTAGGAAACTACAGACTTGGCATGTCAACAAACCCATTTTAACTGTGGTTTCCTCATCAGTTTTTGAGTCAGTCCTTACTTTTAATATCTCATCCTGGTACAACTCCCTCACTACCAAACTTAAAATCAAACCCCCCTGTATTGTCAATCCAGCAAAATAATCGTTTCATCCCAACCTATATCCTCTTTGAACTGTATAACCGCTGCATTTTTTAATATTGCGGACTGTTGGCTAGAGCTCCACACCACTGCACAAAGATTATCAAATTAAATTTGACAAGGGCCTGTTCACTCTACCTTTCAGGGGCCCAGCTATTTCTGTGTGCGAGCCTGTGTGTACAGGTTAGTGATTAAAATACATTTCCTAACCTTTGGGCTTAGAAGTTCAATTTTGTTGCCATGGTTGAAACAGGTATTGATCAAATGTGTTCTTCTAATATTATCAAAGTCAAAATGATGGTACCGGGGTAACCTTAAAGGGCACACACTTTCTGGAGCAGATAACATTACACAATGTGTGCAGCGACATATTGTCGACCACATCAAAAAAAGAGACAGCGAATAAAACCATGAGTGACAAATGTACAAGGGGGAAATTGTTTTACCACTTGACCATTTAAATTCAATTTTACCCTTGGAGTTCAGAACAATTATTAATCATTGGAATAATAACAATAAACTAAAAAGACAGGTGGGTGCATGCTACCTGTCTGCCAGACATAAACACAGTTAATATTAGCCATCAAGTCTTGGCCAATTTTGTGTTGTTGGTTGTCGGTAGGGCTCAGAATATTTTGTTAATTAGGTTTCTCATTTATTTTATTTGGTTCAAACGTACAGTAGCTCCAAAGACACGTCCCTATACCTAACCTCAAGGATCAAAGACTTCTGGATTAATAGCATACATGAATGGACCAGAGATGGAAGTTGAACAGGAACGTGAAGAGTAAAAAAAGAACAGAGGTCTCAGGAGGCTTAATCAGATGGTTGGATGCTGTCTGCCTCTGAGGAGGAAAGACAAGAGAAAGATGAAAAGACATGAAATGAGGAGATCTATAGATCCCTCATGGGTGAGGAGAGCAGAGGAAGCACAACAGATGGTAACTGTCATATTTTAAAGTTTGACAACATTTTCTTTTAGAGTCTTATGATGCTGCTGTCAGCATTCAGTGGTTGATGTGGAGGGCTCTGTATTCTTCCATGGTCCTCCTCCTTTAAAATGAACATGCCCAGCAACAAATACATGTCCCAATTTGAATATGAACCGGGGGAAAGCCTTGGGTGCAGTCTTTAAAAGTCTGAATGTGTAAATTGTTAATTGGTTGGATTGTTGGGCTAGAGAGACATGGGAGAGGAGATAACAAGGTGGTGGAGGAATAAGGGAAAAAAAATGAAGTATTGGCAGAAACAGGAAGTCAGAGAGCAGGAGGTGAAGGTGAAGGAATAGAGAGGCACATACAAAGTATTAAGGGTCATGGCCACAGGTATGGAGCTTGGAAGAGAAGCGAATAGCAAAATAAAAAGCCTTGTAGAGAAAATAAGGGAGTGGGGATGTGCTTGACATGTCTTTATAATTCACATGCTCTCCAGCCTTCACCCTAAGGCTCTGCAGCTACTGGATTCTCACAGAGGAAATGTGTTTGTGGTGATACAATAGCCTTGACTGCACATGCATTCGCTGAGATCATATGTACAACACACAGTCATCTGGCTTTGAGCTCAAATGCCTAATCTCAAACCTTTCTGATTTGGCTAAATGTCTTTGCTTCATTTATCACATGAGAAGCTAAAACATGCCCGTATTCAAACCGTGATTAACATTTAATTCTGATTGCGACATACTGTGTGTGCATCTTGATCTGTGGAAGTCTTAAAGACGACACAACACAAAAGTTTCACAAATCCACCAGTGAGAGAATTTGGATCTTAGAACAGGTAATAATCCACTAAAACAAAAAAAATCCCAGAAAACGGCATTAAAATCTTTACTTTATTCAACATCGATAGATTGTTCAGAGAGTTCCTTTTTAGCAGCTAGTTTGAACTTCTTACAAATTATCTAGAAAACTGCAGAAAAAAAGGCAACTGTAATTGAATACTAAAATTATTTTCAAACGTTACTGTACAAGTCAAATGGTACACTAAGGATACCAAAAGGACTTGGAACAGTGCAGACCGCCAAATTGTTTGTAAAGGAAATAGTTATTACTTAAGCTTCAGAGGTGGACAAAGGCAGTCAGATGTATGTGAACAGTGATGCTACATGGCAAAAGGACTTGGACATGATTCTCTTCTGAATAATCAAGGAACTTTCACACTACACATCTCATTTAAGCATTTACAACAAATTCCCGCCCTAATAGCAGACATTACCGCCGCCGGCAGCAGCCTGGGGTTCAGTGTCTTGCCCAAGGACTCTTACTGTAGACGTGTGACGGCAGAAGCTGCAGGGATCAAATCCCCAACCTTTGGTTCAGTGACGGCCGACTCTAACCACTGAGGCGGATGTTCCTCAATGTATCCCAACATTCATGCATCCCCTTGTTTTATTTTGAAATATCAGTTGGAAGCAGCTTCATCATACATAATTGTGACGGCCCTCTCGCCAGTAGGGTCTGCTATTGTGTTTTTGCCCTTCAGTCTCCCAGGTGTAGGCT